ACGATAAAACTGAAAAATCATTCCCTGATCCAATTCCTTGTGTTGGCAAAATATATTATTTTCAAAGGAAGAACCAAGCTACAATCCAAACTCTGACTGTCAAAGAAAAGTTAAGCAAAAAACTTGCTCCTCAAAAAAAACAAAAACAGCAAGGATAAATCTAATATGAGACAAACCTGACCTTCTCTACCTACAAAGACGTCTTACAGAAAGTGAAATTTGTCAAGCCCCGAGTTCCCACGTGTCTACTGGGAATCTCTTCCCCGTCAACTGACATCAAAACCAATACTTTAGTCGCTAAACAGTACATCGGAGGGACAGAGAGTCTCGAAACACAAACAATGTTGACCCAAATGATTTATGATTTATGTTTTGATTTCCAAATTATTTTTTTTTCAATCCAGACTTACGTCCTCCCCGAGAATGATTTTCTGAGCAAATATTGGAATGCATTATTGATATTTAACAACGGTGAATTTCAGCTGGGAAAAAAAAAGAGAACTTTTGTTTGGAAAATTATAAACAATATCCGAGGGAGACCGGTAATTTTTTGAAAAGGTGCAAAAAATCATACAACTTCTACAGTGCATACGGTGTACGGAAAACACTTTTGTCTACATTCTCGAACTTACGGTCGGCAGGAACTATTAATATTGGTCATTGCGAGATTCAATTCTTCTTATAAAACAGAAAAATATTCTTAGCACCATAGGATTCGGGAAGGGTTGGTAGTCTAAATATGTGTGGGGGGAGAAGGGGAGGTAAGCATGCATCAGGGGCAATCACTACTGACATCTTGAAACAACGGGCTAACTCTCTGAACAACTGACTGGTGGAAGGTGAACCATAAAAAGACAATTAAAAAAAAAAAAAAAAAAAAGGAAAAAAAAGGCAGTGTGTAAGAGAAGCTGTGAGATTCAGCGTCGTTTTGAACACATGTGGACATCAGTGACACTGTGTGTGCACGCACCATGTAGTAAACTCTGACAGGCTCTGTACAAGACCAGCGTAATAGTAATAGCTACAGGGTAGTAGCATCGTCGAGTCAAAAACAGTCTGAACACTTTCAGGAGAT